GGGGTTTGCTGTGGAGTTAAACTGAGGAACTAGAAGATGAGGTGACATTTTTTTATCTCCACAAAGACTGGTTGGCTGTGGCATGGAAAATACATACCTAAACACACACACACACACACACACACACACACACACACACACACACACACACCCTATTTTAACAGTACATACAACAAAATATAATGTGTATAATGATGGTTGATTCTTAGTCTGGTATGATTTCATTTTCCTTTCCGTTTGTTTTTTTATTTTTTAAATTAATTTTTAATTTTTTTTTAACCTTTGTTGCAGTTTGACCTGGAAACTTTTGAGAGTGGTTTCACTGACTTTAAAGCTCTGGAGCAGAAGATTGGAGGGAAGACAATCAATGAAAGTATTGGTCCCGGCAAAAACAGTACGAAGATGAAGAAACTGAAGCCGGTAAGTAGAAATTCTTTCAGCTGCTTGTTTTAGGAAGTTGTGTATGTTTTGTTTTGGGTTTTTTTTTGCTTTAAGAGATTCATTGAGTTCTTACATATATTATATGTATTGGCTGATATTTGAGGGGTTTTCGACTTGTATAATAAAAAGTCAGGAATAAGTAGAAATACATTCAATACTATTACTTACTCACAATGTTTTTTGTATTTAAGGGACATTTTTTGGGGAGAATTTCTCCTGTCAGATTTACCGTCTTGAATGCATGACATAGGTCAAGATCTGTGCTGGGTTTTTTTCTGTTTTTTTCGTCCTGAACATGGACTAATTTTGTTCCCACCAGGACTGGTAAAAGTTGCTAAACGCTTCTTTCTGTGTGTGGCACGATGAGATGCAGTTTAGCCCTCTGATGTGGTTTGCTCCTTCTTTCCTATAAAAAAAAATTATCATCTTTATCTTCCCCTCCTTCTTTTTTGTGCTTGTTACTCTTTTGTAACACCTCTAATCTTCGGCACTTCTATGACCTTATTGTGTTGCAATTGCCGTAAAACTCTTACTAAAACTAAGAGACCTGTTTTGCCCAAAATGATTTAACGTCTTGACACTTTTGTTGTGGTTCTAAGTAAGATATTGTTTAATGCATTCAAGAACAAATTGAGATATTGCTTTTAATACATTCAGTATTAAAATGACAATTTTGGTTATCACTTTTGATATGTTGTCATTAAAGTCGGAAAAGAGGGGTGGGTGGTTGGAGGGTGCTCTGGTGTGGTTTCTCCTTCTTTCCTATCAAACATCTATCGTCCTTATCTCCCCTTCTTCTTTTTTATGTTTGTTACTCTCTTGTAACGCCTCTAATCTTCTGGCGCTCATATGACCTTATGCAGTTGCGAGCGCCGTAAAACCTCTACTAAAACTAAACTAAAAAAAGAGGGATATTGTTCATGATATTTGCTTTTCTTCATTTCTGTGAGAACGTGATGGACTCTGTGTTTGCTACTTTCTTTACATTTACAATCCATGTAAGAGGGATGCTGATTTTGAAACTATGAAACTCTGCTAGGTACAGTCCGAAGAAAACTGGAATTTGAATGAACCCAAAATGTTACAATTTCTTGTACCTTCTTTATTTGTGAACTTTATGTCTTTTGATGTTTGTTGTTTTTTTTACCTGTTTTTCTTTTCCAGTTCAAAATGAATACTGATGGAATGCTGCTTGTGGATTTAGAGTCTCCAATGCCTCTTGGTCAAGGTATACAGTTTTTGTAATTTTTACACTTTGTAGTAAAAGCTGATGTTGGTACGTTTTGTTTGGGTCGTTGGAGGTGTATCTCTTGTAACCTTATCTGTACCCCTAGGGTCATTTTGTACCCCCGGGGTTGTATTCTTCACATTTTAGAATACTTCTAGTTCAAAAATCTCTTTGAAACTTTCAGTATTTCTAAAAAAATCAGTTTGACAGACTGCTATGTAAAGGGTACGGATCGGATTAACGAGTAAATTTCCTCTTTGGAAAGTGGTGGCACAAAGTTCCCCACGTTGTATGGATACGATAGTAAAACACGACGTACGGATAGGGTTAAAGAATATATGGCTTGCAGCCTGTCAAGATGCAGGTAAGATTACTGAAAGAGTTTTTCTGCAAAATTGAACAAGAGTTGTGAAAATATGTATATATATATTAGATATATATGCGATATATTGTTCATTCCAATTGATCATTTAAGAGTTTATTCTTGTGCTATGTGTTTACAGTATACTTGAATGTAGACTTGTGGCTGATTCTGTGGTGCAGCATTTTACAAATGTGAGGCAGCGTGGTGGAATCAGGCTCTCATCAATTTTTGGGCATGTAGAGTTATTGATATCATCTTAAAGCTTGTTCACTTGTCTTTATTTCAATTAAAAAAATATCCATTTATCTTGAATACAAGTCAAGATATTTGCGAAAGAAGGAGGTGGGGTCACCTGTTTTCAGAGATAAAATTAGTGAGAAAATGGCCACCACAGATTAGTTATTTCCTTTTTTTGTGCCTTTAATCAACGTTTTTAAGAAAAATCCAAACAGAAATGAGTTCTTTAATGGGCATGAAAGGTGTAGAGCCAGAAAACAAAAATTTGATAAAGACTCACAAACCTGCGGAAAAATTCAAGTTTCTTCACTTTGATTATTTTGACGAGAGCCTGATTCCACCACGCTGCCTCACATATATTGTTCATTCCAATTGATCATTTAAGAGTTTATTCTTGTGTGATGTGTTTACAGTATACTTGAATGTAGACTCGTGGCTGATTCTGCGATGCAGCATTTGACAAATATGTGTTGCATTTTTTGTTCTTTTTATTCTGGATATGAAATCATTGCGGAGCACCAGTGGGTGGTTGGCGGGTGCTCTGGTGTGGTTCTCTCCTTCTTTCCTATGAAACATCTATTGTCCTGATCTCCCCTTCTTTTTTAAAAATTGTGTTACTCTCTTGTAACACCTCTAATCTTCTGGCGCTCATATGACCTTATTATGCAGCTGCGAGCGCTGTAAAACCTGTACTAAAACTAACAAAGACTGATGGCTGATTCTGTGAAGTAGCATTTTTCAAATATGTGTTGCATTTTTAAAATTTTTTATTCTTGATTTGAAATTATTGCGGAGCAAGACGTTCTTTTTGTATTCAGTTTTTGGAGAGAAAAAAAAATTGTTGATTCATTTCCAGGTGGCCAGTTTGCGGCGCTGAGTGGGAGAGACGACATGGCGAAGGATTCTGACGACGACGATGATGATGATGAGGGCATCACAGAAGATGAGGAGGACGAGGAGGAATCTGATGAAGACTTGAGCGACGACACAGATGTTGACACCTTCGACACGGAGTTCAAGCTTCACAAACGAGACTATTACATGTCCAAGATGAAGTACAAGAATGTTACATCGTAAGAAAAAGTGTTTGACTCGAAGTGTTGCATTCTGCTTCCTTTTTGGAACTTACCTGTGTCTTTTTGTCCTGGAACTTACCTGTGTCTTTTTGTCCTGGAACTTACCTGTGTGTTTTTGTCCCTGGAACTTACCTGTGTCTTTTTGTCCCTGGAACTTACCTGTGTCTTTTTGTCCCTGGAACTTACCTGTGTCTTTTTGTCCTGGAACTTACCTGTGTCTTTTTGTCCTGGAACTTACCTGTGTGTTTTTGTCCCTGGAACTTACCTGTGTGTTTTTGTCCCTGGAACTTACCTGTGTCTTTTTGTCCTGGAACTTACCTGTGTGTTTTTGTCCCTGGAACTTACCTGTGTCTTTTTGTCCTGGAACTTACCTGTGTCTTTTTGTCCCTGGAACTTACCTGTGTGTTTTTGTCCCTGGAACTTACCTGTGTGTTTTTGTCCCTGGAACTTACCTGTGTCTTTTTGTCCTGGAACTTACCTGTGTGTTTTTGTCCCTGGAACTTACCTGTGTCTTTTTGTCCCTGGAACTTACCTGTGTCTTTTTGTCCTGGAACTTACCTGTGTGTTTTTGTCCCTGGAACTTACCTGTGTCTTTTTGTCCTGGAACTTACATGTGTCTTTTTGTCCCCTTTGTAATGTAGCATTTCAGTAACTTTCAGAGTTTTTTTTAATTGTTTGCATATTGTGTGTAAAAAATTATTTTTTTTATTTAAAAAATGTGTTAGTGGGTGGTTGGCAAGTGCTCTAGTGTGGTTTGCTCCTTCTTTCCTATCGAACATCTGTTGTCCTTATCTGCCCTCCTTCTTTTTTGTGTATGTTACTCTCTTGTAACTCGTAATCTATTTTTCGGCACTTCTGTGGATTTATTGTGTTGTAAGTGCCATAAAACTCTTACTAAAACTTTAAAAAATTAAAAACAACAACAACACCATCATATTTTCATGAACAACAACAACAACATCATCTTTTCTACAACAACAACAAATACATTATATGTGTCGCGGAGCGGTGGAATCGAGCGCACCGTCAACTTTTGAGCATGTGGAGTTATCGGTATCATCTGAAAGCTGATTTATTTGCCTTGCTTCCTATGAAATAGATATCCATTTATCTTGGATAGATCTCAAGATATTTACGATTGAAGGGAGTGAGGTCGCCTGGTTTCAGTGTTGAATTTGACAAGAAAATGGCCGCCTAAGTTTGGTTACTCCAATAGCTAAAGAGTTTTTGAAAACTGAAAAATGACACGTTTTGTGCCTTTAATCAACGTCTTTCCAGTAAAAGTCACATGGAAATGTGTTTTTATATGGACATAAAAGAGGTTGAGCAAAAAATAAAAATTTTATAAAAATTTCCAGACTGGCAGGAAAAAGCTTGTTTCTCTGATTTCTGTATTTTGACGAGCGCCTGATTTCACCGCGCTGCATAACATATTTTCAACAACGACATCATATTTTCAACCGCAACAACAACATCAGCGACATGCTATTTTTCAGAGACGTCCTGCAGGACCAGGCTCACGGCTACGTGGTGGCCATCCAGTGGATCTTGTTGTACTACTTTGAGGGTTGTCCTTCCTGGAGCTGGTGAGCTTTGATCTTTTTTAGCTGGTGACGGGGG